CTATACCCCCTTTCATTTTTCGCGAACACTCCCTTTAAGTTTTGCTGCAGCTTTGAATATTTTAGAAGTTTGAAATTGATAAAAATTATAAATCTTTTATACTAGGCATTTGGTGAGGCATGGGCTATTGGAGGAAAACTTGGAGACCCTTTGGTTGGAATTATTTCGTTCAGGTTTCTACAGACTTTTCTACAGACTTTTATACAGACTTTTATACAGACTTTTATACAGACTTTTTATGCAGACTTTTTATACAGACTTTTTATACAAACTTTTTATACAGACTTTTTATACAGACTTTTTATACAGACTTTTTATGCAGACTTTTACAGACTTTTTATACAGACTTTTTATACAGACTTTTATACAGACTTTTTATACAGACTTTTATACAGACTTTTATTTACAGACTTTTTATGCAGACTTTTTATACAGACTTTTATACAGACATTTTATACAGACTTTTTATGCAGACTTTTTATACAGACTTTTTATACAGACTTTTTAGACAGACTTTTTATACAAACTTTTTATACAGACTTTTTATACAAACTTTTTATACAGACTTCTTATACAGACTTTTTATACAGACTTTTTTAAAGACTTTTTATACAGACTTTTTATACAGACTTTTTATACAGACTTTTTATACAGACTTTTTATACAGACTTTTTATACAGACTTTTACAGACTTTTTATACAGACTTTTTATACAGACTTTTATACAGACTTTTTATACAGACTTTTATACAGACTTTTATTTACAGACTTTTTATGCAGACTTTTTTTACAGACTTTTTATACAGACTTTTTTTACAGACTTTTTATACAGACTTTTTTTACAGACTTTTTATACAGACTTTTTACAAAGACTTTTTATACAAACTTTATATGCAGACTTTTTATACAGACTTTTTAAACAGACTTTTTTTGACAAAGATCAGTAACATAAAAATTAAATTTTAAGTCTTAAAGCTTGCTTTACATTTTAGATACAGTATGTATTATTATGTCAAGTATTAGGTACAGTACAGTACATTAATAATTGATATAAAAGTCGTATTTGATTAGCTTTATTTGAAATTAGACACATTCATTAAAATTTGGTAATTTTAAACTATTAAAACTCTAAAAAAGGTTCAGGAACAATTTTTGGCCCCCCTACCCCCCCCCCATTAATTATGTACATGAATTTTTGTTTACGTTTTTAGGGTATTAAAAAGAAATTCTTTTTTTTTCTAGCAGCGGTGCTCGGCCCCCTAGCCTGTCATAGCCACAATGCCTGGCCCAGAAATTGTCTGAACCTAACCTAACCCTAAATGATATAATATTGCTGAAAATTAGTGGTCATGGACAAAATGTATAGGTGGGGGGGGGGGGGGGGGCAAAAAATCGTTCCCAAGGACAGACCCACGTCGTTCAAATAACAAAAACTTTAGCTTCATTTCTAATTATAAGTTCAAACAAAAGCGTCTTTAAATATGCTTTTTTCTGGTTAGGACTGTATGTAACTAACAGAAACAACTCCTTAATTTAACATTTTTGGTAAAAATAGTTTTTAGTTCAGATCGATGCCCAACAGGAGAAAATCTAACTTGGCACTTTTCTGACCAAAAGAGTTTAAAAAATGATGATTTGCTCAAAGTTTTCTGTCTGGAAGACATCTTGGATTCAACCAAACCAAATAATTCAGGAGAAATTCAACTTATTCAGGTAAGTTTCTAACAACTTCTGATTTAGTCACACTGCATTTCCACCCGTCAAAAGTAAACTTCTAATTGTAAGGATTACTGTCAAATGACCTTACTGCCTTAGAGCTGAACTTTTTCTTCGTTTACTAGGATTTTTATGCATTGTACTTCAAGTAGTATATCGTGTACTGCTTGTAATCTTCTTTATAGAAAAATAAATCGTTTTTTTAAATCAAAGATCCTTATAAGGAAGTTTACTTTTGACAGGCGGAAATACTGTTGTTAATTTAATATTGCACTGTTTTAATAAAGGTTAAATTCAAATAACGTTAATGGTTCCTTTAAATTGCCCTTGCCCAGTACTTGATATTATATGAATAAACCTGAAGTTGATAATTTTTAATTTAATTTTAAAAATAATTTTTCAAATTTATAATGGTTTTCAGGTTGTTCAGCCTGAAACTGAAAATGGAACTTTTAACTATCGATCCCTCGATCCTGATCAATCATTATTTCAAGATCAAGTGGATCAATTAAGGCAATCAATCAATGTATCTAGCAACTATCTCCCACCCTTAGTTATGCTTGGTGAGTCTTTAATAATTTTTCTTATTTATTACTTATAGTGACACAATTTCTAGGAAGGTCCCCTCTCATTTTATTTTTAAGTCTCGACCCACCTACCTACTTGTTTCGTTGGAGACTGCCATATTTTATGGCCGTCGTATATATCAATACAACGAAGACGACTTACAATTTCTATATTTGATTTTATACTAAGCTTTTAAACAGCATGAATACACTGAAGCATGGAAACAAAGAGAATCTATCAATTATAAGTTTCTGTTTGTTTACTTGTAACCTTGTAATTTGAAGAAAACTTAAATATAACAGTCGTCTTCATTTCTTATTTTTTTAAGAAGAGCATACCAGAACTGTAAACCCTGTTGAAGGTAATTGTAGAATTTTTAATGATAATTTTGGTTTAAACTACAGTGAAACCCTTAATAACGAATACATCGAAAGAGTTTATCAAATGTCGTCTTGACAATTTTTCAATGAGTTTTTTACTATATATTTAAATTTCAATATTTGCGAAAATAAATAAATAGCCATGAATATGCGGGAACAGTTTTAAAGAGTTCCATGTAATCATTAAATTAAAAAACTAAATAACTGCAACATTACATTATCAGAAAGTGAAGAATACAACATTTTATGAATTCTTTCGATGTATTCGTTATTAAGGGTTTCACTGTAAGTCAGGGGATATCAAAGAAAACACTGATAAGTAGGCCTTATGTCAAACCATCCTCCATCAAAGATTTAAAATTTTAATCTTTTCTCTATCTAAACAACAATCTATTGTTTTTATCTTTTTAAAAGTTCTGAAATTTTCCCTCTTTCTTCTCAGACACCTGTATATAGTGAAACCATAATTGAAAAAATTATATTTTATTTCTGAAAATCAGGATTTCTCATTAATATCTCATTAATTGGAAAAATATTGCAAGCGTGTCACTGTAATCGGGACGTACCACTTTTGAAGTTTTTTCTCCTGTTCCTTTCAGACTTTTGAATAAAGATGCAAAGACAGACGTGAATTTTGTATTTGACTTCTGATATATTTATGCATTTCTGGCCTCAAACTCTAAATTTCTACAACTTATATCTTTGCAAGTTGATGTCTTGGACCCGTGATATTTCAAACTATTGTAACCAGTGTGAGCTCAATAGCTCGGAATAGGGATAGTTCCATTGATGCGACCCCCTCAGTTCTCATACAAAAACATAACTAAACTCTAATTAGATAGTTCCATTGATGTAACCCCATCAGTCCTCATACGCACCCGGAGCTAAGCTCTGATTGCAAGTAGTCCGGCCTATAAACAAGACAACGTTTTAGCACTTTTGTATATAGTTATAGGTAGGACAGAAAGTGGGGCGGATGATAAGTCGCCAATGTGGAGAAATATTTGTCGTTAGAAAATGCAAACTCAGAAATCGCTTTGAACGCATGTTTGAACGCCGGGAAAACCAAAGCAACCATATGCCCTTAGATCCTGGTTTAAATTCAAGCCAATAGGCATGAACCACGGCTTAGAAGGAGAAAATAGGATCAACCTGGGTTGGACCGAAATAGATTCAGTAGTCACAAAGAGTCTGAAGATGGAAGACTAACTGGTGTACGAGGCGAATGAAAGGCGGAGAGTCTGCCAGAGAGCTCTGGCTTTCCATGATTCATTAGTATAATTTTTATTTGTTCATTAGTTTTAAGGCTTTAGAGATCCTTTATTTCATACCACTTTTGTATGGTATAACACTATGATTATAAAGTCAAAGTTAAAAACATCTAAGGTTTTCATGATGCTATACATGTAGGGATAAGAAATATTATAATTCAAGGCGAGTATACAGTTTAGTTTACTATAGATTATATTTAAAGATATGGAGACTGCAGATTCTATTAAACTCTACGTGTTTAGGTAAAATTAAAGAATATAAATTAATAATTAGTCGGATTTTATTTCTAATACAGTTTTTAAAAAGTTTAACAAACAGAGTCTAAAACTAAAGAATGCGCGAATTTTAAGTTCGAGGTTAAAAGTTCTGTAAAATAATGAATAGGTACTTAAATATTAAACTTTCTCAATTTTAAATTTGAATTTCCCGGGAAAATCTGAACCAATCAGAGAAAAGGATTTACCGTGAATATTACATAACCATCGCTAATCAGCTGTTCTTATGTAACCGAAAACTAAACATACAACCGTTTTTTGGGTTTACATCCAAAAATTAATTTATCTAAAACGTGAAATTTCTTTAACAAGGTTTTCACTTTTAAATGTATCGTAAAGTTGAATGCCGCTTTCTCAGCTGCAGCTGAATGATGATTGAATAATAGACAAATAGGGAAAATGCAGGATTTCAAGATAATTTAAACCTCTGTTTAAATTTTAACTCGTCGATTTCGGCGAGTTAAATATTCAACCACAGGGTTGAATATTTAACCTGAACTTTAACCTCACGGTTAAAGTTCAGGTTTAAATTAAGTCAGAAGTGGCATTTAACCAGGGGGCGGGCATAACTCTCCTAATTTTGCCTGGCTAGGTTTATACTGTACAGTGAATTTTGTCGAAAAATGTTTCCTTATGACTGAGTTGGTATCATAGAGTACAGTGGGTTTAATCCTAAGTACATCTATTTGTACGGTATTGTGTGGACAGTTAATTTTAATATTTTTCAACAATGAGATATTGTAGTGTCAAAAATTGTGTAAACAACGATGTTTCGGGTTCAGAAATTTCTCATAACATACGAAAAGAGTGGATAGAACAAGTTATCTGGAAGACAAAACACCCAATTTTTATATGCTCCTACAAAACCAATAGATTATTTCTATTTAAAAATCACTTGTTTCACGTTAAGTTCATTTATGTAAAACAAATATTTTGACAGTTTTAAGTTCTTCGATAACATAAAAATTAAGTCTAACCTAATTTAGATCTATTATTAGTTCAGAATTGCTTTTCATTCTAATTCTAAAAGTCAGAAACATATATTCCTAAGAGTTAATTGTACAATGTAGATTTCAGAAGTAAAGAATTTGATAATAAACAAGATGTTATTAAGGAGAAGGATTTTATTTTTTTCTCTATTTGTCATGTCTCATTTTTAGACAAAAATCATATGAGCTTATTTTCTTTGCTTGAATATTGTAGGCTTCACTTTCAAACAATAATGTCTTAAAACACTGATTTACGAATTAAGATCCGCCCAGGTAGAATTTCTGATCGGGTCATTGTGTACAGTGGCTGTACAATAAGAAGTCTAAAATTCCAGATGCCCCCTCTATTACTAATATCTCGATGCATTTAACCATGAACTTAAAATTTAAGTCAAAACTTTTCGTTCTTTAGTTTTAGACTCTGGTCTATTAGGATTGATTTAATAAATGAAAGGTTTATGAGACTATTGATTTGATAATTTTTATGAATATCAAATTTCAAAATTTTTGTTTTATTTATTTAATATTTTGTAGTTTTTTTCTCAAGACTTGAGTTACATTAAACATTTAATATTTTAGATTTTTTAGTCTTAAAAAATTGTAAAAGTATTTTACTATTGATAATATATATCTAGCTCACGAGACACTGGTTCTTTAAATAAACAGGAAAGATCATTTATCTGACAATATTGTAATCTCAATCAGAAAGAAAGGAACTGAGATTTTCTAAAAACTCAAATTTTCTACTTTCTTTATCTTCACAATCTGACGGGGTAAACCTATATTTCAAACGTTGAATATTAGATGTAGCAGAATTCATAGTTTGAAATATCTAAGGTCTACGACATTGGGTTAAAAGGATATAGGGATTCGACAATTAGAGTTTGTGGTAAGGACTCAACTTCCTTGATAATTCTAAAAAAATGATGAAAATGATTTCCAAAGGGAAAATTAGAGAATTTAAGAATAGACACATATGAGGTCCCATCACCAGGAAAATATTTGCGAACATGTTTTATTCCAGAGTTTACCTTTTTTTTAAATTTACCTTTTCTTGAGATAAAAGTTACTTTTATATATATATATATATACTCACTTCATTTGGTTGTAAAAATACTGCGGTGGCCCAGCTTTGTTTTGTTAGAATCAATTATTTTGTTTCCATCACTATATTGAATTTCTTATTTTCTATGAATTTATTCGCAGATTTCTGCAAATTCTTCAAATGTCGTCTTTTCAATAAAAATTCCAGAAAATCTGTAGAAAATATATTCGTGAATAATCAGAGAGAATATAGAAACTAATAATTGAATAAGATTACTTATTTTCGATGATATGAGTTAATTTTTATTTTCTCAACCTGTGCCTTAACAATTATAAATTAGTTTACTGTAAAATTTTGTTTACATTTTTGTCGTCGTTATTTAATGATTTTAAAAAACCGATTCTGAAAACGTACCCACCTAAATCAATGATTTTGAACGTCAACTTTGCGCTCAGACTCAGTAAATATACGTCGTAGAAACGTTTAATATTTCTCAAATGAATCCTAAATAATTTGTCCACAATATTACATATTCAGTTCAACCACCATACATTGCCAGTCACTCCCTTTAATCATTGTCCATATTTTGATCTAGCAAGTTTTGATGAAGCTCATCTTGAACCTGAAACCAAACTAAACAAAAGAATGACTCCTTTGCCTCAGCTTCTAACAATAGGCAGAAACCAAAATCAAAATATTTCCAAAATAAAACATCTAAAAAAGGTAACACTAATCAGTAACAACAACAACTTGTTGTTCACAGAGACTGTTAGTGTTAACTCTATGTCAAATAACTCTCTATTAAAAACAAATAGCATGTCAAATTTACAACAGTACCTTTATCAAATCCCCTTCGTTTGATTATAGATGACGGATACATTCGTAACTTTCTATTAGAAAATTGAATATCGCTTTATAAATGAAGGGTCACTTGAAAGTTGAAGATATGTCTGTCCTTGCAGACCCTTTATCACCAGATTATGTATAAAGTATGTTCTAACTTTAAAATGCCAGCAAATTTTTTTCTCATTTTTTTTAATTTTGAGAACCAAAACTTTAGCTATTTTAAGAATTCTTCTCGGGTGTAATTTTATGCTGGTTTCTCAATTTAATTCAATGTTTTTGTCTTGCAAAAGTACGGTCGAATGTCGGATCAATATAGTCAAACACGCTGAAAGAAATGTAAAAATTGTATCTAACAATATTTCTTAGAGCACCTCAGCCAAATCTAACTTAGTATCGATTTTCTTAAAATTTGGTTGAATTATCAAAATTGGAAGATCTGCGCTCCAAAGTTAAATTAAGCTCCAGTGCTCCAACACATTTTGTTACAGATGAAAAGTTAAAATTTCTTAGGAAAAAGGAATTAATTTTTGTAACAAGCTCTGATTTTTAATCCTTATATCTTTACAACCATTTGTTGTATTGTAAACCTTATAGATAATTTAAACTTTCTGATCTGTTGGATCAAAAATTAAGTTTAAAATATCAAAAGTTTACCAACAGGATGCAATAATTTAGGGATTAGAAAATTTGGTGTGTGTGGCAAAGACTCTGTTTCTTTTTTTACGTTTACAGATCATTCTCGTTTTGATAACATTGTTTAACGTTTCAAACTTGTGTTGAATTTTACGAAAAATAAGAAAAATATTTTTCTTTTTAAATTAACGATTTTAACTAGGGTTTCCAACGTAATAGATTATTCTCTTACGCGTAATTACGTGCAGTTACGCGTAAAAAGGAACTAAACATAAGAGAGTGCTAATGTACTGGATATATGTAACTGCACCACAATTATTATATCCAGTAGTAACCCATCAACTATTAGGTAAACGTAAGCCTCAAACCTAAAATTTCTAATCCTCATATCTTTACATCCTGGTGGATAACCCTTCGCACACTCAGCTCATGTTCATTTAAATAAATCTGAGCTGAATCCACCTTTACTGTCCTAGGAGTCCTAGTGTGTATAATGAAGAATATTAAGGTTTGAAGCTCAAGTGTTTTCTTTATGGCCTATTAATTTTTATTTTCAAAAAAAAATTCAAATTAAAAATAAAAAATCTTCAAAAGTAAACCAAGCAAAACTTCAGTTGAATAAAAGATTTATTACTAACTCTATTGTTTCATGCATATTTTGGAATTTGTTCTAGTATACATTCTGGAGAGTTAGGACAGTATACTTTAGTAGGGGTAAAGGCTGGCAGACCTTTTTATAAACACACAAGCAATAGGTAACTTCAACGCTTTTGAAAATAAAATCAAAAATTTAAAAGTTTGTGGGAGAAAAATTAAAAAAAAATTTTGTTTTAATTCTTTTAATTTTATTGAAGCTGAGCTGAGGTCAGAAATTTAAAAGTGAACACATTGAATATCGAGTTCAAAGTGTTCAAGATAAAATATTATTCACACAAAAGTTCTCTAAATAACCGGATTTAAAAAAAAATTACCAACAATTCTGTCAATGGATAGAAACAACCCTCAAGCTTTATTTTAAAACAAACTGTTATTTTTTACGTTACGTTAATTTATAAGGAACAAATTTGAGAAACCCAAATATTTATAAATGAAAAAAGCGATAACTTTTTTCTTGTAAATAAAATGATAAAAAAATATATTTTTTGTAGATTTTTCTTGTATTACCATGAAGGAAGAGGAGGAAATTGGCTGGTCAATGAAACACCAGGACTAGGTAAATATTATTAAACAGACGTCTGCGTATTTTCAGGAACCCTCCTCAATACCAATCCCTAATTTACAACACACTGCACTCAACGATATGCTCGCTTAACGCAAAAATTTATTATTTAGTCAATTACTTACTAGAAAGAAACGTGTTGCATTTTAAAACGTTATATGTTTAGGGCTACTAAAAGTATAAGAGAGTTTATGAGGTAAAACCAAAGGACAAGTAGTTGCGACACTTTAAAGTCGTGGCCCAGTCTAATAACTTTCAGAGTTGTCTAGATATCAGTCAACAATACCCTTGATACCTTAAACTGATTAAAACTGTTGAAGAAAACATTGTTTTCTGATTTGAAAACTGATCTTTCTTACAAGCAAGGAATGCACTGGTCGCTTCTGCAGATACACCAAAAATTAAAATAATCGGTTTTCAAAAACAAAAACATGGAGTTCTAATTTACATGTAATCAGACAAAACTGTAAAAGGTACTGTTGTAAACCGGACATTGTCATCTTTGCATGGAGAATCACTTGAAATATGCACATTAATAATATCACTTGAAATATGCACATTAATTAATCACTTGAAATATGCACATTAATAAATCACTTGAAATATGCACATTAATAAATCACTTGAAATATATAATAATGCATTTTTAATAACCTCAACACCACCAACTATAATTTGTATTTAACCTTCAAATAGATCAGAAATTATTATTTTTATTTTAATACTAATTTTTACAATGGAAAATATTTTAGCAACAATGTAAACAAGTTTATGATATATTTTTTCAGTTTATGGAGGAATTCAGAACTCAAAGGTAAATTATGTTTTATGATAATCCATCAATTTACACGGATAACTTCGCGAAATCTTTTTATTGGAGTACGCTGAAAACATTGCGGCATGAACACTAACAGTCAAAACATTTTTACTAGAAAAGCCGATTTTTAAAAGTTTTTTTATTTTTAAAATGAAAACGGCATTTAAGCAATCGTTTATGATGTTTATTTTAAGTTGTTTTATAGCAAATCTTTTCGCAGTAGCTTGCATATCAGCTTCTTACTTGGTTCTGTTTCATTTTCATGTTAATTAGAATATTCAAAATTAGTATAATCAGTAATTTTTTAATCCACAGTATTATGGATTTCTAATCCACAGTATTATGGGTTTCTAATCTACAGTATTATGGGTTTCTAATCCAGAGTATTATAGGTTTCTAATCCACAGTATTATAGGTTTCTAATCCACAGTATTATGGGTTTCTAATCTACAGTATTATGGGTTTCTAATCCAGAGTATTATAGGTTTTCTAATCCACAGTATTATAGGTTTCTAATCCACAGTATTATGAGTTTCTAATCTACAGTATTATGGGTTTCTTATTCACAGTATTATAGGCTTCTAATCTACAGTATTATGGGTTTCTAATCCTCAGTATTATGGGTTTCTAATCCACAGTATAATGGGTTTCTAATCTACAGTATTACAAGTTTCAAATCTACAGTATTATGGGTTTCTAATCTACAGTATTATGGGTTTCTAATCCTCAGTATTATTGGTTTCTAATCCACAGTATTATGGGTTTCTAATCCCCAGTATTATGGGTTTCTAATCCTCAGTAGTATGGGTTTCTAATCTACAGTATCATGGGTTTCTAATCAACAGTATTATGGGTTTCGAATCCACAGTGTTATGGGTTTCTAATCCACAGTATTATGGGTTTCTAATCTACAGTATTATAAGTTTCAAATCTACAGTATTATGGGTTTCTAATCTACAGTATCATGGGTTTCTAATCCTCAGTATTATGGGTTTAAAATCTACAGTATTACGGGTTTCCAATCCACAGTATTATGGGTTTCTAATCCACAGTATTATGGGTTTCTAATCTACAGTATTATGGGTTTCTAATCTACAGTATTATGGGTTTCTAATCTACAATATTATGGGTTTCTAATCCCCAGTATTATGGGTTTGTAATCCTCAGTATTATGGGTTTCTAATCTACAGTATTATGGGTTTCTAATCTACAGTATTAAACTCTATTCCAGGACTATCCCATATGTCCTTATTTGTTATCAACAGTCTGGCAGTATGGAGATAGCAAGCTAGAGGGTTGGGTTTATGACACTTCTCTTCAGGTATAGTACCATTTGAGAGGATTAAAGAGACTGTAAGCGTAATTTCAAGTGACCTTCATGGACAGATTAAAATGCCCTAATTAGAACTGAATCTTTATGATCTGTTCTCCGATCAATAATTTGGAAGATATTGAAGTTTTTATAGATTCAAACGTTTCCAATTTTGATTCGTTTCATAAAAAAGCATATACCATAGTATCTAATAATTAAGCTTTTGATTATACTCAGTGGTTTTTGAAAACCAACAGAAGAGTCTAGGTTAACGAACCTAGGGTTTCCACGAAATGGCTAAATCTTTTGCGCAAAATTTGCGCTATTTTCGCGGAAATATTTTTTGCGAAAGTTGCGCATGAAACGAAATTTTAGTTTTGCGCAATTTTTTTGTGCAATTTGCGCAAAACCGCAAGTTTTACGCAAAATGTAACTTTTTAGGCAAATTGTCAAAAATTGATATTCTAAGCTTAGAATTAAACAACTGAAGATTTATTCCATACATAAAAAGATATTAACATACGAGTATGATAACGATAACGATAACTCAATTGGTTGCTTCCAGTAAAAAAAAGTTTAAATTAAGGGACCAAAATCAATAAAATAGAAATTAGAGAGTGTGAAACTTGGCAATATTTTAATCCTATTAAATAATTTCAAGTGACCCTTAAAAGCTTTGCCTAATCAAGTATGAATTATATTCTTAAATTTTTTTAATCAAATTTCTGAAATCTTTTTTATCTCATATAAAATAATGCAAGAAAGTAACCAACCAATGCCTGAAGAATCCACTTTTAGGAAATATGCATGTCCAAAACTAAAATTGTCGAGACTTTTACTGGACAATCGGTTTCGGATTTTGGTACGAAATTGCGGAATTGCGCAAAACTTGAGTTTCGCAAAAGCGGAATAGGGCAATTTTGCGCGAAATGACTTTTGCGAATGATTGCGCAAATTGTTGTTTTTTTTTCGCGCAAATTGTTGCTTTTTCGCGCAAAACTGATGCGCATTTAAAGAAAAATTTTGCGTTTCGTTCCGCAAAAATTGCGCAAAAGTTTTGCGAATGGAAACCCTAAACGAACCGCAAATACAGTTAGTTCTGAAACCGGTTTCGAACGAAAGTGATTCTTTAAAAAATGAATTGATTGCAAAAAGAAAAAACTAACAGCTAAGTTAAAAAATGGCAATTTTTGTTAATCTTTTAATTTAAAATTGCATTAAACTTAATGTATTTTGATGTTTTTTTTTGTATGCATCTCGAGTTTTTGATGGGTGTTTAATCTGAAGAGTGAAAATACATTGTCTTGCCCCCGTACATATTACAGGAAGTATTTAAAAAACAAAAAAATTAAAAATTAAAAACATGGTGTAGGTGACATGTCCAGAAGATCCCTGTTCAATTCTTAAATGTGGCTTCAGAGCTCAATGCCAGGTCAAAAATAAAAAATATGAAAAAAAAAAAAAAATTTTAAATTGACATCCACAATAATTACTTTGATAAACTGTGTCTTTTTATTAATTAAGTTTGTCTAGAGATTACCATATTAAACCAACAAATATTTGTTTACTATGATTAAAGAGTAAAGAAATCATTAGTTTAATATTTGAATTTTTAGATTACCAGTGGGAGAGCTTCCTGTATATGCAGGCCAGGGTACACGGGGAACCCGTACACAAGGTTAGTTTTACACCAAATTATTATAAACAGGGTGCCTTCTCCCATAGTTTTGATTTTGATAACAAAAAGAATAATAAAAAATATCACATGGCATTCATATTAGGCTAAAATTGATTACAAAGTAAAGTAAGTTTGAGAAGGTGTTAAAGTTGAGATACGACTTAAAGGTCGTCTGTGATCTCAGGGACTAGATAATATGAATAGCGAGAAGTAGATGAACCACGTCCACGGACCGCCGGTTCAATCAGTTATCTTGTGCGCAGGGCCAACCTGAAGAGAAGTGGTTTAATTTAATCTACGTAGCTCAACTACTTCTCCTATTCATTAAATCTAAGCCCGGATGCCGAATTTTGAGAATTTGAACCGGTTCAAACACAGTTGGTTCCACTTGAAATTATAATTAATGTTTCGAGATTTGAGCCGGCGCTCAATTGTAACCGGTTATTGACGGTTTAGCAATGCGGTTCAAATTCTTCAAATTCGGCCTCAGGATACGTATTTGGGACTTAATGTTGTTTTTCAGTAGGTAACGCCATTTAGATAACCCAGACCAGCACAAGTCGAATTCTAAGTATTCTTTTAACAGTTATATATATTTGGATACCCTGAATTGTTTTTATCTTGCTAAAAACTGAATTTATTTTCTTTTGTTTTGGTTTGGACTGATTTGGTTTGAAATTTTCTGAAAAATAAAATAATTAATTGATTAATATTTGAGGTGCTATCCTAACCTTGGCTCATGTACTTGTAAACATTTACACCTGAGTACAACAGGTCCTGCTCTAGTGCATCAGAGAGATAAAATAGGTAATTACTAAACACATGATTAACTCTTATGCATCAGAGAGATAAGATAGGTAATTACTAAACACATGATAAACAGGTCCTGCTCTAGTGCATCAGAGAGATAAAATAGGTAATTACTAAACACATGATTAAAAGGTTCTGCTCTAGTACATCAGAGAGATAAAATAGGTAATTACTAAACACATGATTAAGTCTTATGCAACAGAGAGATAAAATAGGTAATTACTAAATACATGATTAACAGGTCCTGCTCTTATGCATCAGAGAGATAAAATAGGTAATTACTAAACACATGATTAACAGGTTCTGCTCTAGTACATCAGAGAAATAAAATAGGTAATTACTAAACACACGATTAACAGGTATCCGCCCTGTACCCTACCCTATAAATCCGTTAAATTACTATTCATTAAAAGTCACAAAATTTCACGGTGATAGTGTCAAAAATGAGAGTGGTAGGACAAAAAAAATACGGGGGGGGGGGTGCGCCAAACGCCCCCCACCCCCCGCCTGTTTAGGGTTAAACCCCATTTCGCACCACGGATTCCATTTATTGGCTTCACCCTAAAAAGGCAAGAGAGCTTTCCAATTAAAAAGAAAAATTCAGAGAAACTCACAAAAATATGGCCTAGAAATCAAAAAAAATTCTAGCAAATAACGGAAATTAAACAAATATGGAATAACATTTATATTATTTTGCCTACAAAAGTTAGTATAAATGTCCAATATTGGTGTTCACACCTTGTGCATTTCTCAGCTAAAAACTGAACGTTTCATTCTATTAAAGGGAGTGTTCGTGAAAAATGAAAGGGGGAATAGGCTTAATGCGATAAAAAAGCGCTTTTGAACGCTACTAATCTTATTTCTATCTGTTGCGTCTAAAAGGAGAAAATTGTTAAAGACGTCTCATACCGAATAACATGGCGTCCATACAAATTGAGAAAATTGCAACATACGACTTAGACCGTAAAAAAATCAATTTAATTTCAAACAAATCATTCAGATATTACAACCTATAGTCATCGATTATCTTTCGCCACATTTACATATAGTTGATTTATATAATATTTTTTAATTGTTATGATCTGAGAGTTACTTATAAAAACATTTATTCCTGTTTCGAGGATTTTTGGTAATGAAGACGACATTTTCATATTTTCCAGGAATGTTCGAAAACAAGTTGTAAGCTAAATATTATTTTAAAAAACAAAATCAAAACTAGTATGAATTATCAAATATATACAAATGTGGCGAAAGATAATCGATGACTATAGGTTGTAATATCTGAATGATTTGTTTGATATTAATTTGATTTTTTTACGGTCTAAGTCGTATGTTCCAATTTCCTCAATTTGTATGGGCGCTACGCTTTTCGGTATGAGACGTCTTTATCAATTTTCTCCTTATAGACGCAACAGATAGAAGTAAGATTAGTAGCGATCAAAAGCGCTTTTTATCGCATTAAGCCTTTACCCCCTTTCATTTTTCGCGAACACTCCCTTTAAAGGCTATTCTGTTCTTTTTAAAAGTAACCAGTTCAAAAACGATCTTAATTATTTTTGATTTGTTGTTTACTTAATTTAACAATATCACCTGAGGGCGGTAAAACAGAAAAAAAACATTTAAAAATATAAAAGGTTTATTTGTTCTTTGTTTTCTGTTTAATGCACTTTTAAGCAGAAAAATGTTGAAAAATCTCTGTTATTTTAATACACAGATGTTCGTTCATTTTCATTTTCCAGTCTTTTTAGGAACATTTATTTTCTTTTGAAATTGATTGAAATATTTTTGTCATGTGTTTCTAGTATTTTCCGATAAATTTTAAATACCTGCCCCTCGTTCAAGGAACTTTCCTCTTCCCCTCTAACTTTTGGTGCCGGGGGGGNAAAAGTTAGAGGGGAAGATAATCACGATACACGATAATCAGTACTGATACATTTATCTATAAATGTTTTAATCTTTTCTTTAAATACCTTTAGAAAAAAAATTATTCTTCAGTGTATATTTTTTGTTGAAAATTTTAAGAAAACTTACTTAAGATCGAACTGCAGAGCCAGCTAGTCGTTTTAATATTTATTATTTACAATTTAACAGACAAACCATTATATCATGATACAGGGTAACCTATAAAGGATAAGACTTTGAAGACGACTGGAAACTCTTAAGATATGATGATACGAAGATTAAATTAAATCTTTTACTGGCTTTTTTATTGATTTGGAAGAGAAACATATTTCCAGTTTCAGGGAATCATGAGAAAGACGGTGTTGATTCCATAAATTCGTCTCTAAATTCTAATCCTTTGTGGGTAACCCTGCATTTAAAGAAGATTCGTTTTGCATTACTGTTTTAGGTGATTATTATTTGTGGGGAGAATATAACGAGAAACCAGTATACCAACATTATAGGAACACAAATTTTAGTCAAATTTTAACAAATTTAATAGAATTTAACCCTATCCTGGTTGGGATGGGGGAAGGGGGACGGGAATCTTGTCCCTGCTATTTCCCTCATATAATTGAGATAAGAGAGTTGTAATAAGTACAGTGGCAGATCCCATAGTAACCTAGATCAATTATATTGTACATTGTTCATAAATCTAAATGCGCTTATACGTAAAGTGAAGTTCAACTGATTAGCTAATGCCTCGCAGACCAACGAGAAAGATTGAGTTCTACCTGGATTGATACAGGTCTGAGAGACATTTATGGAGTAGGGTATTTACTACAGTGTGATGCAGTCCAACTGTCAAGGCCCAAACGTGCAATCTTGATTTATTAGCCGGGGAAATAGCGAAACAAAAATTTAAATTTTTTCTTTGATATAATGTTTACAGCATTTGTCGTGCGACACGTATTTCAACATCCAATTCATAAAGGACATTTTAATTATATAAATTTTTTTCTATACATTTTCTTAAAATTATCTATCTATCCCCTTCCCTCTTCCCCTCTCTTCTGGCCAACTAAAAGATAGCGATAGAATAAAAAAGTAATCTTAAATATTTTTCTAAAATTATATTTGCTGTAGTGGACTTGACTTCATTTACTTCCACAAGAATCAAGTATGGGGAGTAGGTCCAAAGGTATAGTTTTTAACCATTTTTCAAATACAGATTTAAGAAAAATTTCCTTTTTCAAAAAATTAAGTTGAATATATTTTGTCAAAACCTAATTCTTTAACACAGTTATTTGTGTTGTGTGTACTGAGTTTTTGCCACAAAAACCCATTTTACTTTTTCTTAACAACCTGATAATGCAACCTGATATTTGATTTGTCAATCTTAAACTATTTTATCTAACATTTATAGTTGCAAATATCAAAGTTCTACCACACTGGGACGAAGATATATATTATAGAAATAAGAAAATCACAGTTTGTGGCAAAAAATCAATGTCTTCGAAACTGTTTTGATTCCCTCTATTTATTTTGTATTAATTTATAATATGTGATTAATTAATTAAATTAATAGAATCGGAGAAGAATATTCCATAGAAACATTTTAAATTTTGGGACATTAGATTAATATGTCCTTGCACATACTTTTTTTTTTGCTATTTTGACAATTTAGAAAATGTTTAAAAAAGAAAAAAAAAATATGACTGTAAGCATAATTTCAAGTGACCCTTCATGCAAAGGTTCAAAACGGTACCCCTAAAAACTTTGTCTGAACAAAGAAATTTTAATTGGAATAATTAGAAAAAATTGTGATTTTCGATTGTGGTTTGAATTTACGCTTGCAGTCCTTTTAAACGGTTCAGGTTGGTGGGAAAAAGGTTGGACTTCTAAACTTTAGTATGGTGGACTGCCCGTACACAACAAAAGAGATATGGCAGTACGGTACACAGGTACAGGAATATATACTGTGTGATCCAATAAAACAGGAATCTCTTTGATTTTGATCGCCACTAATTTTACTTTTTTCTGTTGCGCATATATAAAAGGTTAAAAACGACTCATGCCGAAAATGGAATTGCATTATTCTGATCAAATGGTAAATAATTAAATTAAATTAAAAATTAATCATTGAGATATTACAACCTATAAATGTCGAAATCAATTTGATGAATTCGTATAAAGTTGATATTTCACAACATTTTTTAAATACAATGTACTTTAAAAGACGATTTTTTGGTCTCTCCCAAGCAAAATTCCTGAAACATTGACAGCAGAGACACCTAGCGGCCAAACAGTCGACGTTTAAAGTACATATAGAAAAAAAAATTAAAAAAATAAAGTCTAGATTAAAAAATAAGTGTAACTTGAGTGTTTTTAAAATTCATTCAAAATAAATTTTTGCCAAAAAGTTTATTTTTTTATTTTTAGAATCCGGGAGATTTGAGACAACTGGATACATTATTGAAATTGGAATGTGTTGAATAAAGAATAGAAATAAAAAACAAATACTACATTTACTAGATTACATGCAAATTATTTGAATGAAGAGTAATTTAATTTTATAAATTAGTATTAGAGGTCCATTCTCATCCCACGGTGATCTACTGGTTAAAGCTTTTACGCAAAAATCGATGAAAATTTGTTCAATAACTTCTTAACAATTTATACTAAAAACAAGTTCTATACATGCTTAGACATGAGGTTAAAGCGACCCAGTCGTGAAACTTGATGCAACTTTATACATCAGTCTGGATCTATGTGACCTGCATGAATTACTGTACAGTCCCTTTAAATCTCCTTTTAACTCCCTGATTGTCTCATGATTATGCTTTAAATTTTAGTTTTGTGTTAACATTTATTTTAGAAACATAATGTTTTAAATAAACCAGTTGGAATAAGCACAACGTGCTTCAACATACTTGATTTTAAAATATGGTGCAATCTCCTTAAAGACCATATTTTCAAGCCTAAAAATAAATCTAAATAATCCAGGAAAATAGATTATTAGAGGGTTCAGTGTTTAATTTTAAATAAAGTTTTTAATTAACTTGTCACTGTGTTAAATAAGAAATAAGAATAGATTAATAAAAATCAGAGAGAACTTTTTAAGATTTAGGGGTTTTTGAACCCTTAACGAAACCCCTATAAATCTTGAAAAGACCACATCTAGTGTTCTATCTGTATTGTTAATTAATCTATGAAAGTAAGAATTTGAGATAAAAAACAGGCGCGCAGCCACCTTCTGAAAAATGGCATTAATGTTTGCGCATGTATACTTCAGAAACAATGGGAGGAAATTATTAAAATTAAACACATGCCAAGTTTATAAAAAAAAAACTTATTCATAAATATAAAGGTTTTACATGATTTGAAAGGCACTCATGAACTTAAATATTGGCAATTCAAATTTAAATTGATTGAATTATAAATGTTAACCTGATAATTGATTTTGCGACACCTGCAGCATCTATCGCAGGATCTACACATTTCATTTTGGTTAAAATACAATAAATATATTGAACAAAAAACATATTTAGGTTTTCTAGAAATTATTAAAAACAGAGAAAGTGGATCTTACAAAATTTTTTTTGGTTTGTGTAAGAAGCATGGTTAGAAAATTTATGCATATAAAATATAAAAGATATAGATGTTGAATTTTGAAAACTTTTCTTCACGATAAAAACTTTGACTTTCAACATAAAACTTTTGATTATGCATAAACATGTTAAATTAAACTATATACATATCCCTGTAAAGTTTCTGGCAGAAATCTTTGACAGCTCAAGACAATAAAACTGATAGCTTTAAGTTCACATTCTTCAGATGTATTCATATTAATGAGTTTGACTGTTTCTTGGCCCTTTGAGTAATTACCATCATGTATGAGCTCTCTAAAACCAATTCTTTGCATATCAGGCTCTACATCAAAATTTACACAATCAGTTCTAAAAAGGAATAGAGGTAAAGGAATGAAAATGATGGCTGAAGTATGTTTATTAATTGAGTTTGAGTTTTCAGAATATGTTTGAAATGGAGGATTTTTCTCATCATTCAATTTTTTGTTTGTTAAAAGGGATGTCAATTCTTTTGACACCCATTTTTAGAGTGGCACTTCCGATTGACAACGGTACCCTATTTAATGTCAACCCTGATCAGACTAAGGTTCAAAGGGTACAATTAAAAATGACAGAGGAATGACAGGTTACTTGAAATCAGTAAAAATTAATCAAAGCATTACAAATTACCCATTTTCATTGAAGAATGTGAAGTTTTGTGTAAAGTTGAATACAACCTCAAGTTCAGAGGTCAACCTAAAGCCAGCCTCTAATTCAACACTAAACAGAGGATTATGGAGTTTTGAGGTCAATATTAGAAAAATTAATCTCTAACGAAAAGTTGAAATTGATTAAAAAATTTATTTCAGGAATAAAAATCAGATTTTATGAAGAGTTATCCTCTAAAAATTCAATAAACTTAAAATGTACAGGCTGCCCCACGAAACTTGAAAGTAGAAAGACGACTTGAAGGTCGTCTTAGATCTTCGAAATTATTTGCGGCATTTATTAGTCAACCTACTTTAACATACATGATTCTTGATGATCTGAAAACGATCTAAGAAACAATGATTTATTTATTTTTACCTACAGGATGAATTATCAGTGTTCAGCGGAAGAAACCAATATTCAGCTTTATACCTGAAAACAGAAGAATTAGGGCTGACCGTAGTTTGCAACCTAATGTCATAGAACAAAGATCTCAGATTAAAGAAATCTATTGGTATCTACAGCCTGAACCTTAGGTATTTTTATACCGTGAATTCTGTTAGATAAAATAATCCAAGTTTAAAATATTGCCATCAGGTTGCAAATAATAAAGGATTAATGAAGACTATAGTCTGGTCGACGAAATATGTCGTCTTTGTTAAATTGTATGTTTTGGTATAATTTAGAAACGTGAACTTTATATTCTGAAAATTTAATTTTTAATTGTTGAAAAAGCAAATTTTCATTTGCAAACAAAAGTGTAAACAAATTATTTTAAAGATGAATAAAGGACAGGGTGTCTAAAAAAACAACTTGATTCCAGAAAAAATGGATACTTATAAAAGATAGACAACCTTAATGTCTGGATAAGGGCAATTGGTTCAGACTTGATGCTTTGGCATTAACAACTGTATTTAGTATCGCCCTGTATATTTTGAAATGTTACCTCTTAAATGTTTCAGTGCTATCTGTTTCGGTGCTATCTGTTTCAGTGCTATCTGTTTCGGTGCTATCTGTTGTGTTCAATGTTTGATTATTTTCCTTTGCTACAGTGAAAACCTATATAAAAAAGGCCTCTTTATACTGTTTTACGCACCATCGCGTAGTTTTTTGATGCTATAAAAATAATAAATATTGTGAACCAAATCATGGTTTACAACCAAGTTACTGTAAATAGTGCCGTTTGTACATAGGACAGTTGATGCAACTTCTTGGGTATATATTTCATCCAAGATAAGTATCCCGTTCACCAAAGTTTCAGTAGAAGTAAATATTTCCATTTACTGACAGCGCCGATTAAAAGATTCATAACTCTGATTGGATAATGAGATAGATAGAAAGCTAGATTTTGGATCAGGCGCTAATGGACTCGGCATACAGGAGTGCATTACATATTTATTTTTAAGAACCCAAGCGAAGCCAATTACCCATGAAATTGTTGATGGCTTTAAATGTAAGCTGTTAAATATGTTTAAAATTCTGTTTTAAATCTTGATTTTCTTTGACGAGAAAGACAAATAAAATAGGAAACTCACATGCTGTGACTTGATTTTCATGGTTATTTCAGAGTGTGTCTCATTCCTCTTATAATTAGAGCAAAAATATTAATTTTGATATAAAGAGTGTCTGAAGCCTAGATTGATAAAAATACAGATAACACTAGATGTCGTCTTTTCAAGATTTAGGCGTTTTTCGTTCACAATTATCCTGAGGCAGAGGCCCAACGGAGTCACAAGACAGAGAGAGCATACTGCGCGTAACTCCTTTGGGCTTTTGCCTTAGGGATATTGTAAACGAAAAACCTCTAAATCTTGAAAAAACGACATCGAGTGTTCCATCTGTATTGTTAATTAATCCATGATCTGAAGTTTTGACTATCGAATAATGGTTAAAGTTCCCGTAAAGATAAGATCAACAAAGAAATTGAGTTTTTGCCACAAACTCTGATTTCTAATCATTATATCTTTGCAACAGTATGCCGTAGATCTTAAATATATATAACTATGAATTCTGTTAGATCAAATAATCTAAGTTTGAATTATCTAAGGTACACACCATCAGGTTGCAAAGATATAAGGATTATATCGTTTGTGGCAAAAACTCAATTCCTTTTCGCTTCCAAATTTCAAATTTGATGATATTTTATGAAAAAGCAGTAAAAAAAAACTACAAGTTTACTCTAGTTCCCTGAAAGTCTATCCGAATATAACTTGTACTATCTGGCGGATTTTTCGCCTTAGAGTTGTGTATGAATATTGTTACACCAGATCCAGAAACTAGAAAATAGTTTAAAAAGATTTACTTGTATTTTTTCTTAAAGGTAGAGTAATGTTATAAATTGCAAATATTTCAGTTGATAAGATTTAACGATAAACTTTCTTTTGAAATTTAGTGTTGTTGTTTAAAACATCTTGCTAATTGCAAAAAGTAGGTCTGAAAAATATGTTTTTTTAAAATCATTTTTATTTTTTACAAATAATGCTTGTAACAAATCCACTTTTTAAATACTTTGGTTTTTAATTTCTTTAATCATGCCCAACCTGATCCACATTTATATACACTTTCAAAAAATGATATTTTTACTTTTTCTTGAAAGTCGAGAAGTAATAAGATAAAGGTTGCATAAATATGAGCGGTATGGTCAAACCAGCTTCAGGGGCGTACAAGAGCATCTCTGAGGGGGGGGGGGGTCACATTTTGCGTGCAACTAAAATTTTTTCTTGATCTTTTTGCAATGCAATTTAGAATGTAGATTGCTTGAGGAAGGGAAATGCAACCAGATGAATAATTAAAAAAGCCCCCCCCATGGGTGCCCCCCTCAGGGGGTACACATAGTGGGGAGCCCGGGGGCTTGCCCCCCCCCTAGTACGCCCCTAATCAGCTTTTCAATTTTTTTAATGAATTTGTTAATTTATCAAAACATTTAAAGATTTTTTCACGTCTAATTGTGATTTAAATTCTTTTTAAAATGAAAATTGAATATTTTGGACTTATCAACCTTTCCTGTATAAGGAACATAAGGGAGTGAAATCTACAATAGGCCCCATTGTGGACCTCCCAGACCGCCCAGGCAGCAGGGTGCACTGGCCCCCCCTGTTCTAACTAGACCTTTAAATCCCCATCATTTAGTACAAAGCTAGAGAGGTAAAGTAGATACATTCCAGTCAGTTGGCTAACCAATTAAAACCATTGGTTGGTTGGTATCTGTCAACCCTTTTGGTGAAGTATAGAGGTTACCATTATTTAATGTGCTCCTGCCAAGACCATCCACCGATCTAACATTCAGCTAAGCATGTCAGCTCGTTTCAGTAGCACTTCTTTAGAGGCATTGTCTCCCCCTAAGATCCCAGTGAGGACTGTCGTGCTGCTTCCGGTCATTCCTGTCATGAGTACTCTCAATCCTGATGCTGACCTCTCATAGGCTACTGCCTGACAAGATACGACAACATGATGTTCTGTAAGGTGGTTAACTAGCCCTTTATTAAGACAAAGTGGACACCACTTTGTTGTAGAGCCATAGATGTTAGGGCGGCGGTTACCTAGCCCAGCATCTCCTGCTCTCAGTCTGTTCAAAAGTCCCCGTGCCTTGCTATCGCATATATGTGGCTGAAGTTTGAACCAGACTTAAGGGGTGGGCATGCAGATTAGAGACACTAACTAGCCCCGCATCTCCTGCTCTCAGTCTGTTCAAAAGTCCCCCTGCCTTGCTATCGCATACATGTGGCTGAAGTTTGAACAAGACTTGAGGGGTGGGCATGCAGCTTAGAGACACTAACTGCTTTTTCTGCTCCAAGACCCCTTTTACCCCTATTTCAGAGAGCCTCTTTTTCAACCTAGATTTGGGAACATCAAATAGTTCAACCATCAAAGGATTACTGTTTTTCCAATAGACAGTTTCATATACACTCCTTTAGAGAACCTTGACACCTCCTTTAACATACGTTCCATTCCTGTAACTTTTGTCCTTGAAATTAGGACTAGGTCGTTCGCAAAAAACAATGCAGATATTACTTGTTCATTAAAGTTTACACCTTCCTTCATGGCATGTAGACTCTCTCCAAGCCCTGCCATGTAGAGCGCGAAAAGTAGGGGTGATAATCCGCACCCTTGTTTAACGCCTTTGGTGAACCAGAGTGGCGCCGTAAAGCCTCCTTTTATCCTTACTCTTACACTGTTATTTTAGCACATAGATTGTATAAGTGACTTGACCCTTCCACCAAATCCAATGGGGTCTAGCTTTGTGTAAAGCAGTTTGTGGTTCACTGAATCATATGCCTTTGCAATGTTACAAAAAGCTATGGACACTGTATGTCCCTTCTTTTTAGCCTTTCTAATTGCTGCCAACAACATAAACACACAGTCTGATGTTGACCCGCCTGACCTGAACCCAAACTGCACTTTACATAGTACCCATTCTCCTCACAGATTGCGTCCATTCTCCCATGCATGATTTTTGTGATTACACTCAAGATTACACAGGATACTGTCAGTGGCCACTTTTGTGATACTAACAGTGAGGTTGACTTTTTATCAATCGGTGTCATTCGTCCCACTAACAAAGACTCTGATACTCCTGAAACGGTTTGTTAATAACTTCCCTTAACATGGCTATAAAGCTTGGACCGGCGTATTTAAGCATAGCTACCATTACATTGTCAACTCCAGGAGCTCTCTGTAGTTTCATTTTATCTATAAATGTCTTGACCTCTATTTCAGTGGTTTGTTTACACACTTGTTCTTCATGGGCGTTGCTGTCTAATGAATCTTTCATCCATTCTTGCCCTCCAAGCAGCTGTTTTATATCCATCTCCTTGATGAGCTGTTCTCCTCTATGTGTGAATATTGCTGACCACTGTCCAGAAAAAATTTTTGCTAGTTCTTCCAAAACTATCTCTTCTATCCGTGCTCTATCTGTAGCTAGCTTCCCTTGTGCATCCTTGACTGCTGTTAGTACATCTTTCTTCCTAACTGTTCTTCTGACTAATCTCCAGAACTGTTTGGATGACAAAGTTGATCCTGAATGCTATCTCCGTCCAAGGCAGCACTGCCGGACCTTATCTGTTATCTGCAATCTGAGGGTTTTTACATCCATCTCAAAGAGTTTCTCTTTCTTCTTTTCATCTTCGGTTCCGAACCCTTGTAAGTTTTTCTCATATTCTAGTTGTTTAACCTGTGACTCTGCAACTATGCACTTCTTACGAAGTTTTCACATTGACTTGCATACTGTCGCAAAGGTCCCAGTCTGTGGGTTCTGGTTGCATGCCAATTGTGCTGCCCCAACTAGTGTTTCCTGGAGTTACTTGCATTTCTCTCCAATATCCATGGGATTCCAATCCACCAATACTACCAAAGCTTCAAAGGCTTCTCTGTATGCATCCGCTGTTCTTAGTTTGGGCCCAATGATTGGCTTTTTCTCTTGGGTCCCCACTCCCATTGTCCCATGGTTAACTCTCAATTTTAAGAAAATTGCAGAGTGGTCGCTGCCACCCAGGATTCTTCCATAGGTGTCTATGACATTGTGACACTAATTTATCCTCCAGGTTGTTTTCTAGAACCAAGTCTAAAGCTGACACCGAGTTGGCAGTCATTCTTGTAAATAATCCTTAACAATAATCTGCATATCCATTAACGATTCTCAATCCGTTATTGGATACAAAGTTCCGTATCAACCTTCCATTGAAGTTGATATCTGTGCTATTCCCTGGTATACCTCGGATATCTGCCCCGATATGCCCGTTGAAATCCCCTGCAAGTGAACACATATACCTAGGGCTGGGCACGTTCCGACTTTTTTAAAATCGTTCCGTTCCATTCTAGAACGAGGGCCTTCAGATAAATCGTTTGTTGTACAAGCTGTACAATACATAAGAAATTGAACATAATGTGTGAATATTCTCTCTCCCCCCGCTCCTTACTGTACTGCAGGGACCCTGGAGAAGGATAAATTATATACATAGAATCCTGATTGTAAACCGGTATATGTACAGTGTATACTATACAACAATAAAACTGATTCAAATACTTCAGTTTGCACTAAACCTGCGCTGCAACTCTTACATCAGAATTAATATTCAGAATCGCTGGTAGAGGTAGAGTGGGCGTTCCTCTCTCCCCCTCCTCCCCCCTTCATACTTCGTCTCTCTGCGTCCTGAGAGCTCGGAGTATAGAAGCATTAGAGATGTCAACCTGCACAACCTCCTTGGAAAGGTCGTTATCATTTATTTCTGTCTTCTTATCTTGAAATAAATGATTTGTATAACTTTATTGCACAGCTGTATTTCTCTATCAGTGAATGCACTGAAATAATTCTGGTTACAAAAATATAGAGGTTTTTACGTATAGAGAAGATAATCCTCTTTAAACAAAATCTGGTCTATACGACAATTCTGAATATTATTTCGATTTCTATCCGTTTTCGGAATTCTGAATATTATTTCGATCTCTTATACCCGTTTTCGAAATTCTGAATATTAATTAATTCTGAAAAAACTTAATTTCGGAATATTAATTATTTCC